GTCCTTGCTGGTTCCAAGGAGGTTGAGGATGAGAGGTGCCCACAGGCATTCTATTTGGCAAGGAGAGGTGGGCTTCAGGCCCCTCTAGGAGCTCTACCTTCTGTCTTGGAAGCCTTCCCTGAGTGGAGGTGCCTAAACAGAGCAGGTGTGCACAAGATGCCATGAAGGGCTTCAGGGAAGACTTCCTGAGAGGCCAAGTGCCCCGAGGACTCAGGAGATTTTAACTAGGGGAGAAGGGTTTTCTGGGCAGAGGCTCAGCAGGCTGCGAGCTGAGAGGAAGCTGTGAGCAGGTAATGAAACCCTGACCCCTTCCCCCCAGCTACCACATCGCCTTCGGGCCCGTGGTGGACGGTGACGTCGTTCCCGATGACCCTGAGATCCTCATGCAGCAGGGAGAATTCCTCAACTACGACATGCTCATCGGTGTCAACCAGGGAGAGGGCCTCAAGTTCGTGGAGGACTCCGCAGAGAGTGAGGACGGTGTGTCCGCCAGCGCCTTCGACTTCACAGTCTCCAACTTTGTGGACAACCTGTATGGCTACCCGGAGGGCAAGGATGTGCTGCGGGAGACTATCAAATTTATGTACACGGACTGGGCCGACCGGGACAATGGCGAGATGCGGCGCAAGACCCTGCTGGCGCTCTTTACTGACCACCAGTGGGTGGCACCAGCTGTGGCCACTGCCAAGCTGCACGCCGACTACCAGTCTCCTGTCTACTTTTACACCTTCTACCACCACTGCCAGGCTGAGGGCAGGCCCGAGTGGGCAGACGCAGCGCATGGGGATGAGCTACCCTACGTCTTCGGTGTGCCCATGGTGGGTGCCACTGACCTCTTCCCCTGCAACTTCTCCAAGAATGATGTCATGCTCAGCGCCGTGGTCATGACCTACTGGACCAACTTCGCCAAGACTGGGTGAGGCCCAGAGGGGCTGGGTGGGGCACCCTTGCAGGCCAAGGGACACACACCCTCCATCCTCGGCTCCTTCTCTCCCTCACTCCTTCACACGGCCATCATTCCTCCATTAAAGCGCTCTTGCCTTCTCCACTCAGACACCTGCTGGACACCTTCTCTGTGCCGGGCACTGAGTTGCATGTTAGAAATTCAGCAGAGTTAGAGAGGTCCTTGTCCTTTCTGGGGGTGGGCTCATTTGGTGGCTTTGGCTCTGTGTCTGTCTCTCCTCTCCCTTGCCTCCCCACCCTTTCTCTCTCCTCCCAGTGCTCTGCCCCTCTGTCTGACTGCTCCGGTCTGTGTGTCTGAGTATGTGTAAGGCTTTGTGTCTGTCTGTTTTCTTTATTGCTGTCTCTACATCTCTCTTGAAATCCATTGATATCTCTCCCTCTCCCTCTGCTCTCTTTGATCTATTTCCTTTTTGCCTGCTGATTTCACCCTGGCTGTCTCTCCTGTGACTTTGTCTCTCTGTTTCTACATGTCTCTATCTCACTCAGTCTCAGCTTCTGCCTCTCTCACTGGCTGTCTCTTTGTCTGTCTCTGCCTATCTCTGGCCCTCTGTCCTCATCTCTGGCAGTCTGTCTCCATCCCTATTTGTCTCTCTGTCTCTGGCAGTTTCTCTGTCTCTTCGTGTCCATCTCTGTCTCTCTCTTTTTCTCTGACTTTCTTTCTGTCTCCCTGCATCTTTATCTATCTCGCTCCCCATGCCTCCTACACCCCCGTGGGAGCCTCACCCTCACTCCTCCTTTCCCTGCCCTCCTGTGCCCACAGTGACCCCAACCAGCCAGTGCCACAGGACACCAAGTTCATCCACACCAAGCCCAACCGCTTTGAGGAGGTGGTGTGGAGCAAGTTCAACAGCAAGGAGAAGCAGTACCTGCACATCGGCTTGAAGCCCCGCGTGCGTGACAACTACCGCGCCAACAAGGTGGCCTTCTGGCTAGAGCTCGTGCCCCACCTGCACAACCTGCACACGGAGCTCTTCACCACCACCACACGCCTGCCTCCCTACGCCACTCGCTGGCCGCCTCGCCCACCCCCCGGCGCCCCGGGCACACGCCGGCCCCCACCGCCCGCCACCCTGCCACCGGAGCCTGAGCCCGAGCCCGGCCCCAGGGCCTATGACCGTTTCCCCGGGGACTCCCGAGACTACTCCACGGAGCTAAGTGTCACTGTGGCTGTGGGCGCCTCCCTCCTCTTCCTCAACATCCTCGCCTTCGCCGCCCTCTACTACAAGCGGGACCGGCGGCAGGAGCTGCGGTGCAGGCGGCTCAGCCCACCGGGCGGCTCAGGCTCCGGGGTGCCTGGTGGGGGACCCCTGCTCCCGGCCACCGGCCGTGAGCTGCCACCGGAGGAGGAGCTGGTGTCACTACAGCTGAAGCGAGGCGGTGGCATCGGGGCGGACCCTGCCGAAGCCCTACGCCCTGCCTGCCCGCCTGACTACACCCTGGCCCTGCGCCGGGCACCAGACGATGTGCCTCTCTTGGCCCCCGGGGCCCTGACCCTGCTGCCCAGTGGCCTGGGGCCCCCGCCGCCCCCGCCGCCCCCCTCCCTCCATCCCTTTGGGCCCTTCCCCCCGCCTCCCCCCACCGCTACCAGCCACAACAACACGCTACCCCACCCCCACTCCACTACTCGGGTATAGGGGGTGGCCTGGGGGGGACCTCCTCCCCAGCCCTCCCGGCCCGGCGGGAAGTGCCACTCGGAAGGCAGGGAGGAGGACTTGGCCACAGGCTTTTCTCGTGTGGAGCTGCCACACGTCGAGGAGCATTAGGTGGACGTGGGTTTCCTCCCCGGGATGCGTGTTTTGCCCATGCAGAGAGGCCCACTCTCTTCTCTGGACCTGGGCCTCTGTACAATTGGAGGGCGTTTTTTTTGCCCCCCACTGGGACACCAGTCTTCGGTGTGTGGAAACGTGGGAGCATTTTCCCATGCGGAGGTGTGCTTTCTCACAAGGGGGTGTGTTTTCCCATGTGCAGGGTGAGGTTTTTTTTGCCGCCCTGGACACATGTTGGCCCCCTCAAAGAGTTTCTGCGGGGATTTGTACCCCAGAATCCTGTTCCCTCATGCCTTCTCCCACCTCCTCCCCCCTCCCCACCCCATGGAGACCCTGGAAGTGGAGTGTTCACGGACAGTGACCCTTGGCCACCAGACAACGCAGGGTGGTGCCTGGGAAGTAGCGAGGAAATCACAGCCCCCCCCCCCCCCGCCCCACACCCCTCCCCATCCCAGCGAAGCATGTTCCTCCCCCATGGCACAAGTCAGATGGAGCACGTTCTCTCCAGTTGGCCTCGCCTTCCACAGATGACAGACACAGATGCCCTGCCAGGGGGATGGGAGGAAATCCGGGCATCCCTGTGCTGCCTGGGAACTTGTTTTCCCACGGGTCCGGGACACGTTTCTCTGAGTGGAAGTATGTTCTTGCATGTGGATGTGTGTTTTCCCATGCAGACGGTCCCTTTCTCTGCAGCATCTCCCTGCATCCACCAGGCCTCAGGCCCAGCACTTAATTCCTCCTCACACAGCAGGTGGGAACAGACTTCAAACTAACAGCTGAGAGCTGACTGGGATGTACAAACCCTGAGGGGAGAGCTCTGCCCCTCCCTCCCCCCCCCAGATGCTGAGTTGGGGGGTGGGGACATGGCACCTGTCACCCACAGAGGCCATGCATGTTTGACCAAAGCCCTCATCAGGGTCTGAGGACAGCCTTTCCCTCAGTCTTCAGACCATCGCTCATCCGTGCCAAACTGGGTAGGTGAGTTTGAGGGGGGAAGACCCCCCAAAGTGTGCCAAGGATTCCCCAGTCCTGGGTCAGGGCAGGTCAATGTGGGAGCACGTGGATACAGAGGAGGGGAAGTGACAGCTGAAGGGGTCCCGACTGTGTCTCTCTCCTCACCATGTCTCATCCCTCCCTCTGTGCCTCAGTTCTCCATTCCTCCATCTCTGTCTCCCTCTTTGAAGCCGTCCCCATCTATCAGACCAGTTTCTCCCTCAGCTGCCCACTCTCTTCTTTGACCTGCCCCCTCTTCCCTTGGCCACCAGGGCTGAAGGAAAGGAGTGGAGGAGAGGAGAGCAGGGGAGAAAGGCTTCACAGGACAGGCTGGGGACAGAATGAGGTCAGCTGTGCTGAGGAGCAGATGGAGGGGGCAGTGGGAGACGGGGCTTGGGCAGACACCAGCAGGAAGAATTTGAAAGGACATGTGTGAGGTGACTGCCTGGAGGGCACCTGAGGAGAAAGGGTTTGAGCCTCTGGGGAAAAGAACGATGTCAGGAAGGGTTTTAAGGGACACCAGTGGAGAAGGAGAGAATCCTCATCTGCTGGCATTTTGTGGGTTTCTTAGTGCCAAACTTGAGTAGGGGGTGGGGTGCTGTCTTCCACTGACACCTAAATCCAGTATCCCTGGTCTTGGCTCCCCAGAACTTTGCCTCCTGGCTGTCCCTTCTCCCGCCTCCACCCGTGGAAACTTAGTTCTTTTCCCACCTCTCCCTGCCTGGTCCAGCTCCTCTCCAAACAGCCATGCCCTCTAAATGCTAGAGACCTGGGCCCTGAACCCTGTAGACAGATGCCCCCCAAATTGGGGCATGGGAGGGGGGCTGGGGGACCCCATGATTCAGCCACGGACTCCAGTGCCCAGCCCCTCTCCCCAGAACAATTCCCTGACAATCCCATGTCCCCACCCCAACCCTTCACGGCTCTGTACACATTTTTAAACCTGGCAAAAGATGAAGAGAATATTGTAAATATAAAAGTTTAACTGTTGGTTGTGCCTGCTGTTATGTTAGGGGGTGGGGGCAGGGGGCTCTGAAAAAACAAGCCTTGGGGAAGTGACTGCCGATGAGGGAGGAGGAGGGTGTCCGAGCCCACAGCCCTTTTCAGTGAACGTCTCCCAGCTCCGAGGGCTGAGAGAAAGGAAGAGTGGGTGCTGGAGTAAGACTGCCATGGTAATGGGGCTGTCTGGGGAGTTCAGATCAGGAGCCGTGCAGAGGTCAGAGCGTGGTGGAGAGAAGGAGCGGGCAGGGGCTGATGGCAGACACTAGACAGGCCAGAGGGCCCATGGGCTGTCCAGGTGTGCCACAGGAGAGGCATGCAAGGTGAAGGGCTTAGCCTCTGCCAAGGCCTGGGCCCAGGCTGGAGGGTCAACTGTGAGCCCAGGACTCTCCCTCTTAGCACATTGTGAGGGAGACCCCCAGCATCATTGTGACCCGCTTACCCCCAGTAGCCTCTGGGACAGGCAGGCAGGCCGGTAGATACTGTGGGCACAGAGGGCTGGGGGCCTAGGGGCCCCGGTGGCCCTAGGGACCCCCATGGCTATGGCTGAGTGGCCACAACCCGGGTGGGCTTCGTATCACAGCCCCAACACCAACAACTGCCAGGACCTGGGCAACTCCTTCCTGTTGCTGCTGGGCCTCATCATCTGCATTAACATTGGCATCAATATGGTGACACTGGTCAGGGTGGGGCTGGGCAGGAGGGTGCTGGTAGGACGGTGGGGTCGGGGAACAGGCCTGGTGGCCAGGACCTGCCTGGGGTCACTGTGTCCTCCCCCACCTAGCTCTGGTGCAGACTCCGTGGCTTCTTACACCAAGTGTTCCATATTGTTTGTGAGAAAGGTAAGCAGGGGCTGGGGGTTGGGGTGTAGGAGGGGCAGAAACCAGGCTTTCTAGCCCTGACCCTAAGCTGGCCTCTTCCCCTCCTGCTCTCTCCTCTCAGACACCATAGCTGTGCAGCTTCTTCTCCCTGCACCCTGCCTCTCCATCCCTGGAGGAGCCAGCCTCCTCACCAGCCTCTCACCTCTCCCTGATCCACAGAAGCTTCTAAGTCATCCTCACCTGGGAAGCAGACCCAGCTCCCGAAGCAGAGCTTCCCTGCAGTCCACCTTCGATGCACCATGGACCCTGTGAAAATGACCGTGACCCCCCCACCCACTCGCCGCTATCGCCATCGAGGCTCTTCAGCGTGCCGTGCCCACTGCCCGGTAGCCTGGGCCCCAGACACTGACAATGACGAGAAGCCCCCACATCAGCACCCAGCAATCTGCTCCCACAACTGGGATCACCCTAAGGACTGGAAAGGCTTCCAACCCACCTGGGGGTTCTGGGCTCCCTGGGCCCAGGACACCGTGGAACCACCTCCCCAGACCATCCGCTTCCAGCAGACCATAGAGGAAAGGCCCCTCAAAAGAGAGATGCGGTCAGAGCTGGGCCTGGAGGCCTACGTGTATCCTGTGAACCCCCCACCCCCCAGCCCTCAGGCCCCGAGCCACAAGAACAGTGGAGGCAGGGCGGGGGCGGGGGCTGAGGCAGAGCAGGAGCAGTGCTTGCCAGCCCCACCAGCCCCGCCACCCATCCGAGGCCCAGCGATCGTCCCAGACATCCCCCAGCGCCACTCCTCAGGCCGCATAGTGTATGATGCCCGCGATGTGAGGCGGCGGCTTCGAGAGCTGACCCGAGAAGTGGAGGCCCTGTCCCACTGTTACCCCCTGGCCTCTGGATCCAGCACTGCTGAGGGGATGGACAAGGACTGGGTATACCATTCCCTGGCAGAGAGGTGACTGGGAAAAGAATAAAAAGGAGAGAGAAGGTAGTTTGTGGTAGTGTGGGGGGTGTCAGAGCCCACACAGCACCCAGAAGCCCTAGTTGCTAAGGGAATGATCTCCCTGGCAACAGGGCCTAGAGAGCCCCGAAGACCCTCATCAACTCTTGGCCTCCCCAGGCCCTGTCCTCAGCCCTTTCCCAGACCCTTCATGGTTGTAAGACTCCTACCTGACTCTACTCTGTTTTCTTTAGTGCCCAGAGAAGCCTCCCAAATCCCACCCCAGATCCCCAGGCACTCTTTTACTAGATGGGGAACCCTCATCCCCATGGCCCTAGCTCCTCAGAGGTCTCGTTCCTGCCAGAGCCCAGGTTTAGGCTGCAGCTAGGGGTGAGACGTGGTTCCCTCTTAAGCCCTGGTTTCTTTGAGGAGGGATGGCTGAAGGTCAAGGCATCCAGTCCCTCACAATTCCCCAGTCAGAACCTGAAGCTCCTGTACCCTCAAGCAGGCTTGGAGCTGAGGAAGAAATACTGGGGACACTCTCAAGGGCTGCCTCACGATAACATCACAGCCCTCTGTGACCTCACTCCTCTAATTAGCACCTCCATGTCACAAATGAGTAGACTGAGGCTCAGAAAGACCAAGTGACTTATTCGTGGTCACAAGGTCACCAAGGATCAACTTCACGACCTCAGATGCTCCATCCCCCTGCTCCCACAGGTAGATTCCCATTGCCACTGAGTCAGCCTGGCCCATCGGAATCTCTCACCTTCAGTCTGCCATGTGAACTCATCAGAATACCGCATCCACTGGACAACAGGAAAACCCAGGCTCTACCCTACTCCTAGACAATTGGAATCACACATGCATGCACACATGTACATGTGTGTGCACATACACAACTTGGGAACAAGGAGCCATGTGAGTGCGCATAGGCTGAGGGAGCTGGACCTCACCTGCCATACCAGCTGGGTTTCTGGAATGTACCCAGGATAGGTACAGGCCTTTTGTGAATCACCCAGCTTGTCTGATCATTTTCATTCAGCTAACGTAATTGATCATTTTAAGCTGATTCCATTCAGTGAGTATGCATTGAGCACCTCCTATGTGTTTGGAGGCTTGATGGGAAATGCCCACTGGCTGTTCCTTTATTTATTTATTTTTTATTGAGGTAACATTGGTTTATAACATTACATAGATTTCAGGTTTTATCACCTGAATTATAATTCAACTTCTGTATAAACTACATCGTGTTCACCACCAAAAGCTGTTTCTCTATTCTGCTGAGTTGTTCAGTGTGCAAACAAATGACTTGAGGTCCCCAGGGCACCATTTTCACAGACCCCAGTGATGAGCCTGGTTTAAATCGAAGACTCCTTTTGTCATATCAACAATTACATCTATTTTGCGCTTTGTGAATTTCATGTGGTTTGCTTAAGGTGGCAGCTAGCAGTTTTTCAACTTAGAAGGGTGGTTCAGTGGGAGGGCATTTGGTTAGGATGGAGAGGAGTGGTCCCTGGCAGAGGTAGAAGTCAGTCTTGCTCTGAAGTGAAGGGGCCAATGGGCTCAACGACCACCAGCACTGAGGGCTGCAATCCCTGGCCAGAAAGGGGTGGGTAGAGTGGGTGCTAGAGGGATTATGACAGGGAAAAGGGCAGGTCAGGGAGAGAATGGTGCAGCAGGGGGGCGATCCCAGAAGGGACTCTTGCTGTCACTGGTCCATCTAGTCACCCTAGCTCTGGCCCCAAGTAAGCATGGATTGGAAAGTACCAACAGGCTACATAAGCTGCCATAATGTCTCAAAAGAACAATAAAATAGAGGAAATCCTTTATGCATGATTCAATTCCTATGAAGATTGTCTCACAACTGTAGCTACCATATTTTCAAATCAGGAATCAGGTGTTGAGTTAAGCAAGTCCCACGGAGACAGAGGGACAGACTGGGATATCTGGGGACTGGGCTCCATTGAGTGGGAGAGATGGCCATATAAAGGGTCTGCCAACTGGATAAAAAAGGTGCCACCTCTGCATTGTGACTTCCTTCAATGTGCCTCATTATGACCCAGCTCCCTCACCAGCTGGTAGGTGTCCCCAGGTCCTGGCATGAGTTCAGTGTGGGTCGGGGCTGGTGGGGGGGGGCGCGGCCCAGGTGGCCCTAGGACCCCCCCACCATGGAAAACCAGCTCTGGTATGACACCCTGGGGTGCTGCAGTCAATACCAAGAAAGTCCCCAGGATGCTGAGGACTTCCTACTCCTGCTGCTGGGCCTCATCATTCTTGTCAACATTGGGATCAACATGGCAACTGTGGTCAGTGATGGTTGTGGACCATCCCTAGGGGTAAAGAGGGCTGAGGATCGAAGCCAGCTGCAGCCTGCACCTCTCCCTGCAGGAGTGGTCTTGGCTGGGACGGGGGTGGAGGGTGGGGGTGGAGAGCCTGGCCTTCACTCCCACCCGCCCACCCCACTCCACCCCCAGATGTGGCATGGGTTCCAGAATGCCTTAGACAAGATGATCTGTTGGATTAATCAAAAAAGTAAGTATGGTAGCTAGAGAGGTAGGGACTCCCCCCACCACACAACCACCACAGCCCTAGACACCCAGGCCCTGGTGTTCCCAACCCCGAACTCATGACAATTGCCCCGCCTACATGGACTCGTGCCTCCCCCAGATGAAATCTTGCAGGCTTGTGAAAGTTCTCCCCAAGATTCACCAGCCAAGGTCCAAGACGTCCACATCCACTGCACCCTGGACCCTGTAGAAGTGAAGATGGCCCGGCCCACTTGTTGCTACTCTTCCTCCTACCACCGCATCCGCAACCGCTGCTCACGCCGCCGCCGCCGCCGCCGCAGCCGCAGCCACCAGCAAAGGCTGAAGAACCACAGACAGTTCCCCTACAACCACTCAGTCTTCCGTAGCCAACAGCACAGCCGCAAGATGTCACAGCTGTGGCCGATGCTCCCCTTTGATCGGGAGGATCTGGACTCCTGCCTGGAAGAGGAGGATGACCTGTCCTTCCCATATCCCAAGTACCCACAGCGGGGCTGGGGAGGGCTCTACCAGCAAATGGGCCTGCCCTCCAATCTGGGGCTGTGGGGCCGCCAGGGTGGGATTCTGGCCAGCCTGCCACCACCCTCTCTCTACCTGTCACCTGAGCTGCGCCGCATGCCAAAGCGTGTGGAGGCCAAGTCGGAGCTGAGGCTGCAGTCCTACAGGCCCCTCTGCTCACAGTCCCGCATCTGGGGCAATATGGAGGCTGAGCAGTGGACCTCGTCTCTGCCAGTCCCCCGCCAGCTGCCCCGTAACCCCTCCTGGGTCCCCGGGGGGCACAGCCCCTACTCCTCAGGGGGCCAGCTACTGTGTGACTCCTGGGATCAGAGGCGGCGTGGTCTGGAGGGCTCTGAGCCTCCATCTCTCCTGGTGCCCCGGGGCTCCCGGCCCGAGGCCCAAGAGCAGTGCTCCCCACAGTCCCACCGGCGGAGCCTCCCCAGCCATGCTTACAGCCAGCCCAACCGTAGCCCCCACCCATCCACCGGACACTTGTGCTACAGCTCCCGAGACCCTCATGAGGCTCGGCGCCGGGCGGCCGAATGGGCAGAAGCACTGTCCACTCGGCACCCTCTGACTACCTCCACCTCCCTCACGGTGTTGGGCGAGGCCTCATACCAACAGGCCCTGGCTCCCAGCCCGGCCCTGCTCTCCCGCTCCTCCCAGCCCCTGCCCGAAGTCCAGGCTGCTGAGCTCCCCCCACCTCCACCCACCTTCGTGCCACTCAGACGGATTCCGGGGGGCAATGCCAACTACCAGGTGTATGACAGCCTGGAGCTGAAGCGGCAGGTGCAGGATAGCAGAGCGCGAGCCAACTCACTGCCACCACCTTCCACCTTAGCCTCGAGGCCCTCCCTGCACAGGAGCCGGACCGGGAAACTTAACTGACCAGCAGCGAAAGTAGGCAGTGGGGCAGGGCATGGGGAGAGGAATAAAGAGCAACAGAGTCCAGGAAACACTGTGGTGGTCTGTGGCTTGGAAGCGCCACTCCTTCTGCCGACCTGGGTCCCTGCCCTAGGCTTCCTGAAATGAGAAGCCAGTGTCCCCTTTTTGGCATGAAGTTCCCCTTGGCTTATTGGCCACAGTCCTGCTAGCAGGGCCCTCCTGGTCCTGCGCCATGCACTAAGTAGATCTTGCAGCTGCAGACTCCAAACCACTGGTCTCTGGGCACCTACTCTGTGTTTCTGCTCTCCCTGTCCCCACAGGGGGCTCAGAGGTTCAGCCCCACGTAAGAAGCTGAGGTCAGATCCAGCCCTGGGGGTTCCACACTTGGACAGATGCAGGCCCTTGGCCCAGTGAAGGGCAATAAGAAGGCCAAGGCTCTGGATTCCAGCCAGGCCTTCCCCAGGGCTCTGAGGCCAAGGTCTTCCCAGTCTCAGGAGCGATCAAGGGGATGGAATCCGTGAGTGTTTGAATGAGTGAGTCAGCAGGCAGTGAGGGAACGAATGAGGGTGGGAGGGGAGGTGTGCTGGCTTCCCAGCCCTGTTTGACTGTCCAGGCTCAGGTTACCTGAACCCGGTTACCAGGGAAAGCCACCGTGGGCCCTCCTTTTCCTCCCCCTCCTTCATTGTGACCCCAACTACCTGCCCCATTATGATCCAGTCCTTCTCCCCCTCCCCCACCAGAGGAGTCTGGATCCTAGTGAGTATATGGGGGCCAGGGGGCCCAGGTAGTCCTGGGACCCCCGGCCATGGGTGAGCAAGCCCACCACAGAGCCCAAGTGTGCTCTGGCACCAACCTCAGGAAGTGCCAGGACCTAGGAGACTCAATTCTTCTGATTCTGGGCAGTGTCATCTTGCTCAACGTGGGGATCAATGTGGTGATTCTGGTCAGAGCAGGGTCTGGGCAGCAGGGTTGGGGGATCCCTGGGGCCTGGAAGGGGTTGAGGTGGGAGGGCAGTTGGGATGTGTCCAGGGTTGGATTTCAAGGCTCACCCAACTTCCTGACCCTCCCCTCCCCTGCTCCCCTCAGCTCTGGAGGCATCTGAAGAGCTCCTTGCGGATTCTTTTCCGTCACTTTTTCCCCAAAGGTGAGTGGGCCCCAGCACGACCTCAAGGGGATGTGGGTCTGTGCCCTTTCTTCTATCCCTCTCCCCATTCTCAGCCTCTCAGGAACCCAGCCTTGTCCCATCCCACCTTTCCCTGCAGACAAGCAACCCAGCCGTATAGGCAGCCATCCCATGTGTATGCGCTGCTCCATGGATCCCAAGAACCTGTTCGCAAGAGTCTCTTCCCACTTCCATCATCGCCCAAGCTTCCTGCTTGGGCACCCTAACCACCTTGACTCCTGGATACCAGACACGAATGATGAGAAGGCTTCTAGGTGCTGCTGGATGCCACCTCAGTATGGACACGCCAAGGCTCCTGTGGAGGCTCCGTGGGGACTGTGGAAGGAGGGGATGATGGGAGCTGGGGAGGCCCCTCAGGTCACAGCCTTAAAGGCCCAAGCCACCTTCTTCTCCAGGCAAGAGACATCTTCCCAGTTCCCCAGGATGAGCAAGTTGGACATGGTTCCACTCCGCTTGCCCCCAAAGAGCAAGACTAAGACCCCAGACTATGACCCAAACCAGGCCCCCACCCAGGCCCCGACCCACTCCCCAGTCCACGCCCCTGAGCACACCCACCCCCAGGCCCAGACTCGCTCTCCAGTCCAGACCCCTGAGCACATCCCTGCCCAGGCCCAGACTCGCTCCCCAGTCCACACCCCTAAGCACATCCCCGCCCAGGCCAAGACCCGCTCCCCAGTCCACCACCCTGAACACACCCAACCCCAGGCCCAGACCCGCTCCCCAGTCCACCACCCTGAACACACCCAACCCCAGGTTCAGATCCGCTCCCCAGTCCACCCCCCTGAGCATAGCCCCACCCGGGCCCAGACCCACTCCCAAGCCCTCACTCCTGAGCACACCCCTGCCCAGGCCCAGGGCCCTGAGCACACTTCAGTCCACACCCTGGGCCACAGCCCAGAGCACATAACAGTCCACGCCCCAGCCTGCACCCCAGCCCAGGCTCGTCTAACCTATACCCATGCCCACACTCTGGTCCCTGCCCCAAACTCTGTCCCAGCCCCTCCCCCAACTTCTGCCCCTGCCACTACTCCTGCCCCAGCCCCTACACCAGCCCCTGTCCCAATCTCTGCCTCAACCCCTGCCCCAGCATTGGTCATGGCCCGGACTACCACTCCAGTCCCTGCACCTGTCCCTGCCACCACCTCTACCCCCATCCTAACTCCTATTCCCTCTACCCCGCCTGCCTTCAGCCAAGGCCTCTCCACTGGCCATGTGGTCTACAATGCCCGCGGGGTAAAGCAGAACTTATTCCATGTGTGCCTCCCCCAGAACTCTGAGTATTCCAGAAAGTACTTGGGCACTCTTTCCAGGCCCCAAGAGGGGCAGGGCCTGGTGAGCTCTGGTACAGCTGAGCAAACATCGAATCAACGTAGTGGGGACAGTGCCAAGCCCTCCATAGGATCCATATTGGGTTACCTGGAGTTGGGGAATATGGAATGGAAGATCTCAAATGATTTCAAAGACAAGTTCTCACAGCCCAAGACCTTCCCTTACTGCAGCTTCCATCCTTGCAGTTCTGAGAAGAGAAACACAGAGTCCCAAGCTCCAGTCTACCCCAAATTCCTGGTCTACTCCAAGGATGCTACACCTTCTCAACCTTGCTTTCATTCTCCAACAAATGCCCGGAGCCCACTGTGCACCATTCCTCCACCATGCACTCTTTCCCTGCCTCTTGTTTCTCCCAGGTCCTTTGTCCTTCATCAACCCACCAACAACCAGAAGCCCTCCACCTTAATACAAACCCCTACCTTTCCCCCAACCTCCAAGTCTCCTCAGTCTGTCCCCTCTTCCCAGTTCCCCATCCCTCTGCAGTTCTCTACCATTTCCCAATCCCCAATCCAACCCCAATCCCCGGAACTTCATGAGCGTCTAGGCCTCACCCAAGACTCTGGCCTCCAAAAGACCCCAAGCCCTTCAAAAGACTCTAAAGTTCCCAGGAACACAGGCCTTACCCAAAATCCAGGCCTCCGCAAGAACCCAGGCCTTACCCAAGATCCAGGCCTCTACAAGAACCCAGGCCTTACCCAAGATACAGGCCTCCACAAGAACCCAGGCCTTACCCAAGATCCAGGCCTCCACAAGAACCCAGGCCTTGCTCAAGATCCAGGCCTACATAAGCTCCCAAGCCTTACCCAAGACTCTGCCCTTCACAAGAATCCTCAAGATTTTGTCATTACTCAAGATTCTGGCCCCCAAAAGAGTGTAGGTCCTACTCAAGATCCAAGTATCTCTAGGAGCACATGTCTTACCCAACACCCTGGCCTCCACAAGAATACACCATTTACCCAAACTTCTGACATTCAGAGGACCTCAGGCTTTATGCAAGACTCTGGAGTTTATAGGAATCTAGAAGGAAACCAAGAGACTGTACTCCACAAAAGTCAAGATCTCTCCCAAACAACTGGTCTCCAAAACAGCCCAGGCCCTTCTCAAGAATCTGGGGGTTACAAGAGTACAGGTAATGCCCAAGATCCTGGAGTCTATAGGAGTCTAGGCCTTACCCAAGATTCTGGCCTGCAGAAGAACCCATACCTTGCCCAAGACTCTGGAGTCAACAACAGCTCAGGCCTTTGCCAGGAATCAGGTCTCCACAAGAGCCCAGGCCTTGTCCAAACTTCTGGCCTCCATAAGGGCTCAGGACTTACCCAAGACTCGGGAGACTACAAGAATCTAGAGACTACAAGAGACGATAAGAATACTCAAGATTCTGGAGTTTGCAGGAGTCTGCGCCTTACTCAAAATTCTGACCTCCATAAGAATCTAGGCCTTACCCACACCACTGAAGTTGAAAAGAAAAGTGACCTTACCCAAGACGTTAGAATTCACAGGAGCCCAGAACGTACCAAAGGCCCTAACTTCCACAAGAACCCAGGAATTAATCAAGATCCTGGCCCCCAGAAGGGTCCAGCCCTTACCCAAGACTCTGGCCTCCCCAAGACTCAAGGCCTTACGGAGGAATCGGGCCTCTACAAGGACACATGCCTTATCCCAAATCCTGACCTCCACAAGAACCCAGGCCTTGCTGCAGGTACTGAGTCTGTCCAAGTCTTGGGCCCACCTCAGACTGCAAAGTCAACACTGGCCCTGATTAAATCATTTGTATCTGAGGAGGCTCCTCAGAAGGAGGATGCAGAGAGGCACGTACTATGGACTTCTGTCTCACCCAGTCAGAACTCCTGCTCTTCCAAGGCCCGGGTGATCTACAATGACCTGCAAACCTTCTCAGAGGTACCTGTACTAATTGAGCTGCAGCCACCCTCCCGGAGAGCAGGCAGCCAAGACTGGGTGTACCGCCCTGTGGATATGGTTCCTCCAGCCTGCCAGAACTATCGCCAGATGTCTATGCCTCCCAAGATCAACTGGAAGCCCTACTGTCCTGGGCCAGGCACCCGGGTAGGGCATGTGGTCTTTGATGCCCGCCAGAGACAGTTTGGAGTGGGCAGGGACAAGTGTGAAGCTCCATCTCCCAGGCGCCTTCACCAAGAGGCACCCAACAACTCATCAGAGACCATTAAGGAGTGGGGCTATCAGTGTGTGATGAGAACCTCAGAAAAAGAGGGAACAAATGTGCATCAGGAATAAAGAGGCAAGAGAAGTGTTCTGTGATTGATTTAGGACACCCACCCTAGCCCCATTCCTGACACTGGCCACCCACAGGGCCTGATGAGGACTGGGACTATCCCTGCCCCTGCCTCTCCTCCATAGTGGCACAGCTAAACCCATTATCCCCAAGGCCCTAGAGCTGCATTGTCCTTTCCCTTGTCACTCATCCCCAGCATCTTCAAAGCTCCCACAGAGCCCAGAGAACTTAGTTCTTTTTAGGGTGGCTCAGAGGCCACCCTCTGGGGAGGAGGTAAGATGTAGGGATGCCCGATGCCTGATTACCCCAGACTGTGAGAAAGAGCCCAGTCTTCAGTTTTCCTGATCTAGTCTTTTGGGTCACAATCAGATGTATGGAAACCTGCCTCCCCAGTTCTGGGCTGTGTTTTGAGGTCTCTTTGTCAGTGACTAGGAACCCCTGAGATCTGGCATCCCCAAATTGAGCTCTGGATTCTGAAAGTCCCTTCCTTTACAGGCCTCTAGTTTTTCTGGGTGTCTCTGCTTAATTTTCTTGCCCATGGACTTAGGCCTATCTCATTCTGGAGACAGGCCCCGGGGAAATGAGAATGTAAGAAGCCCTGGTCCAGTGATGGATTGGCCTGATCTGTGAACTTGTCCTTGGTTTCCTATCTTTCTGTCCTATTATTCTGTCTCCTAGTTTCATCCTGGACTTAAGCTGTGTCCCTGATAGCTTACTGAAGCTATTCCTATTGGTTATTGAAAGCAATTGGTTACTGAAAGCAATTTCCTTCCCTTGATAATTTTCCATTGCCCTGCCCCGGCCCAGCTGGGAGTTTCTTCTGGACTTGATTTTCCGCCCTAATAACTCTTCTGTGTACACACACGAGCTGTGAGACCCCAAAGTGTTTTCCCTGCCACCACTCATGTGTATCTGAGGTGGGCATTGCTAACATGTATGTCCCTTCCCTGAGTCAGACGTCCATTCCTGGGTCACCACCTGTGTGTTCTTGCCTAACACCACCACCACCAATTCCAAGAGATGCCTCCCCACCCAACAACTCTTTCCAACAACTCTCTGGCTCAGCTCTGCCCTTGGACAAGTCATGTGCAACCTTTCTAGGCTGCAGTCTCATTTCCAAAATGAAGTTATAATTGCATGGAAGAACCCTCCTAGATCCAAATGACCAGGGCTCCTCTACTCACACGTGAGAGTAGAGGCCCCTATTTCTCCCAGGCGCTAGAATATGTTCCCCATTATTGTTTGCTATTCAGATCCATCCCATTACCCCTCTGCTCCAACCCCAAGGAATGTTTGTATGGGGTTGACCTAGGCTTGGAAAGGCACAGAACAGTTTATCTCCATAGAAACTACAACTTCCATCAGGCACTAGTTCAGCGGAACAAGAAGGGACATGGGGGCGTGGCCCCAACGCCCTGGTAGCACCGAAGACAAACTATAACTCCTAGGATAGCGCGAGATCTCCGCAGAGAGGGAGAGTCTGAACTCTGACTGGAGGCGGGGCCGGCCCGGAACCACCCTGACAGCCTCCAGAAAAGGGCGTGGCCCTATTTAGGGGCGTGGCCTTATGGGCAGCAGGAAGAAGTTACCTGTTGAATCGTTTTATGCATTCTCTTCCCAACCCTTGTAGCTACCCCGAAAAGGGAAGCCGCAGACCATAGGCTCTTCCGAAAAAGAGGTAAGGGGAGGTAAACAAGGGGCGGCGGAGGAGACTGGCTATCGCATTCCTTAGGAGGGGTCCAACAGCTAATTTTTACCTGCTGAGTCAGGTGAACTGGTCCATGGGGGCGGGGACTAGCATATGAGAAAAGGGCAAGGACGGAGGAGGTATTTGTTCGTTTTCAAGACTAAATTCAGAGCCCTTCATCTGCAGACCCATTGGCGGACTGTCTCTGGGGCCCTCTCTCGGCCTCGGGAAGAGAAAAGAACCGGGGCGACTTTTCAGCAGCAAAGGAAAGGCCCGTCTAGGCTTTCTCCCCTCCGTGTTTTCCCTAGCCCAAATTGATAGAGCCACATGGCTTCCACGGTCTGGGGGAGTGCACCCTGGTGGGGCCCGCCGCCCCCAGCCCCAGCCCGGCCGCTCATGGACATCGACTTCTGCTCCGGGGCGCAGCTGCAGGAACTAACCCAGTTGATCCAGGAGCTAGGTGTGCAGGAGAGTTGGAGTGACGGGCCCAAGCCGGGACCAGACCTCCTCCGGGCCAAGGACTTTGTCTTCTCTTTGCTCGGTAAGTAACCCTCTCTGCCTTCGGGAACTCACAGATCTCAGCCCCGCCCCACCCCAGCCCCGGCTTTGGGTCACGCCCTCACAATCCCTTCTCTTCCCTTAGGTCTTGTTCACCGCAGAGACCCCCGCTTTCCTCCCCAGGCAGAGCTCTTGTTGCTTCGTGGCGGGATTCGCGAGGGCTCCCTGGATCTGGGGCCTGCACCCCTAGGTCCCTACGCCCGGGGACCTCACTACGACGCCGGCTTCACACTCCTGGTGCCGGTGTTTTCTCTAGACAGCACTGGGCAGGAGCTACAAATGGACAGGGAATCCTGTTACGCATGGCTCTGTCTCCCAGAGCAGTTACGCGGAACCTCGGTCCGGGAGGCATGGCAGGATTGCCTAGGACCCCCAGTCCCAGGAGGACTTGATTCGATCCACCGAACCGAAAGTGAAGGAAGTCCCAAGGACTGGCAAAGCTCAGTGGACCAGCCGCATGGTTACATCAGTGAGCATGAGCCGCAGGTGTCTTTGGAAAAATCACCTAGTAACATTTCGGGGCCCGAGTCGCCTGGGCAAGACGTAACCGATCTTGGCTTTCCCGCACCATTGAAAAAACTGAATGGTGACGTCACCAAAGCAGCCGACGTTAGCCCAGTCCCACAGCCGTCGGAGGCTTGGGAGACATGGCCCACATTGTGCCCCGCACAGGTGGCTGCGTGGTTCTTTGCTTCTTTGGCCGCGGTCGCTGAGTCTCTGTTCCCGGTCCCTGGCGCCCCGCGCTTGGTCCACGCAGCCCGCCACGAGGGGTTCACCACCGTCCTCCTGGCTACGCCGGGGCCCCCGCGCCACCTCCTGCTCTTCGACCTGATCCCCGTGGTGTCCGTGACCGGCTGGCCCGAAGGGGCTCGGAGCCACTCGTGGGCCGGCCCGCTGGCTTCCGAGTCGTCCTTCTACCTGGTGCCCGGCAGCAGCACAGAGCGGCCGGGCGCTTCGGGCTGGCAGCTCTGCTTCGCCCGCCAGGAGCTGGCGCTCAAGGCGCGCATACCCGCTCCGCTGCTGCAAGCGCACGGGGCGGCCCAGGCCCTGCTGCGCCCGCTGGTGGCCGGGACCCGGGCCGCGGCGCCCTACCTCCTGCGGACGTTGCTTTACTGGGCGTGCGAGCGGCTGCCGGCGCTCTATCTGGCGCGGCCCGAGAATGCGGGCGCCTGCTGCCTCGGGCTGCTGGATGAGCTGGGCCGTGTGCTCGAGGCCGGGATGCTGCCCCACTATTTTCTGAGCGGCCGAAAGCTGCGTGCGGGGGACAGCGCCGCTGCGCTGCTCGGGGCGTTGGCCCGGCTCCGCGGGGACCCTACCGGGGCCCTGCGAGCAGCGGTGGAGGAGGCCAAGGCTGCGCGCAAGGGGGGCGGCTTAGCTGGCGTGGGAGGCGGGGCCCATTAAAGACGCTGCTCCTACCAGCGTGGAAAGTGCTTGTTGGCCAGCGGGATGTGGAGGGTGACTGCTCGCCCCTCGCCTGGGAGACAGATCTAGTGCCCTGCCCAAAGGTCCCTTTCTAGAAGGCCTCCTCGCCGGTTCCTCCCCATCCTCCCACCCTCCTCCCGCCCCATTCTTGGCATAGGTCCTTCCATTCCGGCCTCTCTACTTTCCAAATCTGTGGCCAGCAACCCTCTCACTCCGGTGCAGCCTCCGGTAATCATCTCCCCCCAGTTCTTATGGCCTTTTCTCTTAGGAGTCAATAGGATGGGGGAATGTTTTTTGCTGACAAAACGTGGAAGGGAGAGAGGTATGGAGACCAGGGACTGACCAATTTGGCTCACACAAAAGCAGAGATATTAATGAGGCCGGATTTCGCCCCAGGCTAGATCTCACCACTACCCCCATCTCTTCAGTTATTGCCCCCACTTTCCTCATCCAGTTGTGAACTCCTATCCTGGGCAGTAGAGTCTCTTCCCTTTCTCCATTCTTGGGGCGTCCGCCATTCCGTCTGCCTTAAGCCCAACCTCTCCCCCCATCCAGGGTTCCATTCAGTGGAGTCGCCTCCTTGTCCCTCCTCCTCTGAACCCTGAGACATGCGGCCTTGCCTCCACTCTGCCTGCCTCTAAGACCGTCCCCACTCCCTGCCTCCAAGGAACCCTGGGGTTCCGCCCGCCCAGCTTCACCCCACTCTTTCCCAGCGTCTCCGCCCCCTGCCCCGCCCCCGGGCCGGCTCTCCGAGGAGGGGGAGCTGCTGTCGCCGCCGCCGCCTCAGCTCCCCAACAGCCGCTGCCGCTGCCGCCGCTGCCGCCGCTCGGCTTGGTCCAGCGGCCAGGCCCAGTGCTCTGACTTCGCTGTACCAGGGCGCTCTGCGGAGACACCCTCACTCCTTCCCGGGGTCCTGGGCGCCTACCCGGGCTTGGGGGGAAGCTCCGCTTGCAGGGGACAGGGAGGGGGGAGCCTGGAACCGGAGCCAGCGCCACCCGTCGCCGGATCAACAAGACAGGACAGGTTGAGGGGCGTCGGGGAAGGAAGAGGGGGTGCTGTAGGCAGTCCCGGGGAGGAGACGAAGCTCTGTCGCAGGAAGCTCTGATGCGCTCTGACTTGTAGGGGGCCTGTTCACATTTGGGGATTGGTGACAACGTGGGTGCACTCCTCGCTGAGGGGGCTGAATGGATTAGAGGGCGTGGGATCTAAACAGCACCAGCTGTCCCCGAGGAAATTAAGGGACAGCCAGGAAAAAAAAAAAAAAAAAGAAGAAGCAGAAAAACCGGATGCTCCTTATTTCCAGGTAAGGGAGGGACCTCCAGACAACAACCTGGTGTATCCACTAGGAAGGGAGGCTTTGGATGTGGCTTCAAAAGGAAAGGAGGATAACAAGGTGAGGAAAGGGGCTCAACCGCGGGAACCCAGTGCCACTAGAAATGGGGGTGACTCGGTGAAAAAAAAGGTGTTGTCCAGAGACAGGGTCTGGGAACCCCTTCTCACTGACCACGGACAGCTTGGATATTCCCAGACATAGTTTTTGGGGATTTCAGTGAAAAAAGTGGGGGATCCTCTCCACTTAGAGGATGGCAAAGACACCAAGGTTGGATTCCTCCCTGACATTGGCAGCACGCTAGTAGGGATGGGGTGGGGTGAGCTAATATATCCCCAAAGCTAAGGACCCACACCTTTTAGATTACAAGAGTAGATTTGGCAGGAGTGCAGGGCCCCAAAATAGGGTGGAAAAGTGCCTGGGGATATTGGAACTACATCTTGGAAATTTTGAGGGTCTTGGCTTTGGGATAGCGGAAGTGGGAACAGGGACACTGGAGAGCAGGGAAAGGGAGAGTTTTCAGTAGGGGGCGAAAGTCGAGGGTGGGGTCTACTGAGAGGTACATAGGCTGCTGGGTCCGGAGCTAAGACGGGGCCCAAGGGTGGGAGCTGGTGTAAAGGGGTGGGGGGGAAGGGTCTAGGGCTTATCCTCAGGTCCTGTTGGTGGGGCGCAGAATCGGGACTGTAGTGTCGAGCATGCCCTGGTGAGCGGGCTTCTCTGGAGGAGCCCAGCGCGCTTCGGGCGCTTGCTGGTTTGGGGGTGTCTCTTCCTGGGGCGCCATGGCGGCGCTGGCCAGTAGCCTGATCAGGCAGAAGCGGGAGGTCCGCGAGCCCGGGGGCAGCCGGCCTGTGTCGGCGCAGCGGCGCGTGTGTCCCCGCGGCACCAAGTCCCTTTGCCAGAAGCAGCTCCTCATCTTGCTGTCCAAGGTGCAACTGTGCGGGGGGCTGCCCGCGCGGCCAGATCGCGGCCCGGGTGAGTGGCTGGGGCGGGGTCTCCGGGCCTTGGGTTTCTCTGCCTGGGAGGTTGAGGCCAGAGACTCTGAAGAATGGGGCCCGACTGAGGGCGCTCCCCGAAAGTGAAAGGGGGTGGACCAGGACAACAAAGTCTCTGCCAGACTATGCCTCAGTTTCCCTTCTCTTTTGTCCATAACCTCCAGTCTCTTTGCTTTCGAGGGCAAGGGGAAAGCTTGAGGGGCTAAGTCGGGGGCCCCGAAGCCTCACAGCTCCTGCTCGCCGCCCCCAACACAGGAATCCCCACCCCCACCGTTCTCCGCCTACGTGCCGGCTCTCGCGATTCTTGCAATCCCGAGCGGAGGGGCTGGGGGTTCCGGACGCCTGGGTCACCCCGAGGGTTTCTGCAGCTCCGGCAGCCCCGCCCCCGCCCCGGTTCTCCCGCTCCTCCCCGCCTCGGCTGGACTCCTTCTGGCCGAGCTTGCCTGGCTCGGCGCCAATCCCCGCTCCTCTCCCCCGGCTGTCCTTGCAGCTACCTCGCCAGTCCCCCCCTCTGTGCGCCCTCCTCCCGTGACCTGCGCTTCAAGAAGGGAACTGGGCACCCCCCCGTTACCCCCTACGCGACTCCAAAATCGGGTCCCACATACTCAGGGGACCCTCTGCCGCGAGGAACTCAGACACAGTACATGGCTGGAGACCTGCACGGAGACTGGGGGTTGTACCACCTACGAGGAGGTACAGGGAAGTCGGCCTAGAGCAAGCGACGGGGAAGGAGAGCTATGAGGGTTAGCGTGTAGTCCCCGTCCAGGTACGACAGGCAGGGAGTCCCTCTGGCCTCGGTCCCGCCCGCTCCCAGCTCTCCTGGGGGTGGCCCCTTCGCGGTCTCCTCTCCCCGCCGCCGGCCCTCCACAGTGGTACGGTCCGCAGCCCACCCTTTGAGTGGGACCGGGCCCCACGTGACTCAGCCTGCCTCGCCAGCTCCCCAGCCCCCTCCCCCATTTCCTTGATTTGGTAGCGAATGTCCCCCACCCCAGGCGGGTTACCTGGCTGAGCCTCAGGGAGGGCTGGGCCCCCCGGGAGCCAGCAGACTGACAGACAGATAGACAGACAGACGGGTCAGTGTCAGACAGGCCGGCGCTGGGCCAAGGCAAGGCCCGCGCCAAGCAAGCGGCAGCCGCAGCAGCAGGTGCTGAGTCAGCGTCAGGCCCAGTCCCACCCCCACTCCTGAGGGGGCGCCCCTACCCTATGGTCACTTTGCTGCCCCCCACATTCGCAAACACACTGCCCCTTCAGCAGCCCTGCCTGTCTCCCACTGTCCTCTACCTTTTGATGTATCTCTCCCCTTCCTCTTCCCTCTTCTCCCCTCCCCCTGCTTCTGGTTGAGCTGTAGAGTAGGAATTAAGCAATTTCAATAAATTTCAATAAATAAACTGAAAGCTGGTGGTTAGAGGAAGCAGAAGGGACCCACACCCCAGCTTTCTCAGGAGTCAAAGAGAGGTGGGAGAGAGCTTGCTTGGAGGATCCGAGAGCTGGGGCCCTGGGACCCTCTTCCTTCCCTCCATTCTCCTTTGTTTCTTTCTTCTGATCCCGCCAAGTGTAGAAATGTTTCTGGGAACAGAGATGTCATTTTCAAAGACGAATGTCTCTCTCTCCAGAGCCTCAGCTCAAAGGCATCGTCACCAAACTGTTCTGCCGCCAGGGTTTCTACCTCCAGGCGAATCCTGACGGGAGCATCCAGGGCACCCCCGAGGACACCAGCTCTTTCAGTGAGAGGGGAAGCCAGTGGCTGGGTGGGAAGGGGGAGATGGGGCTAGGAGATGACAATCCTATTCCCTTTCAGGTTCTGTTGTTTTCAGTCTGGCTCTTTGATCCCCCAAGGGCAGAAGTGGAGCTGGGATGGGGGGAGCTTAGACGGGGGTTCGAGGCCTGGGGTACTGATGCCCGCTCTCTCCACCCCCAGCGCACTTCAACCTGATCCCAGTGGGGCTCCGTGTGGTCACCATCCAGAGCGCCAAGCTGGGTCACTACATGGCCATGAATGCTGAGGGGCTGCTCTACAGCTCGGTGAGACAGTGAGGCTGACTGGCCTGGGGTTTGGGGACTCGCCCACTTCAGAGCACCTCCTCTAGGGTCCATCCAATCCCTACTCCTTGCACAGCCCCCCAGATACCCCCAGGCTCTTTGAATGTCCAACTCTCTCAGCCTTTTAGGGCTGCCATTTCTTGTCCTACCTCCTCTCGACTTCATTATTACTCACTTCCCCGAAGTCATTCACGACAGGGGACTGTGAGAGGTTGGGAGTAGAGTAGAGAGAAGGTATCTTCTTATTCCAGGGCTCCCAAAAGTCTAGTTCCTGACCCTCAGGGGCCTTCCTCATCCTCTTTTTCTCCCAGTTTCTGCATGGGCTCAGAAGTTGGCCCTCCCAGCCCGAAATGTGTGGATTATATCCTGGCTTGTTCTTCCCAGGGCTCCCTTCTGTCCAGTGATGTGTCTTTTTGTCTCTGTCTGTGTGCCTTTCTGGGTCTTTGTCCCCTCAGCCACATTTCACAGCTGAGTGTCGCTTTAAGGAGTGCGTCTTTGAGAATTACTATGTCCTGTACGCCTCTGCTCTCTATCGCCAGTGCCGTTCTGGCCGGGCCTGGTACCTGGGCCTGGACAAGGAAGGTCGAGTCATGAAGGGAAATCGAGTCAAGAAGACCAAGGCAGCTGCCCACTTTGTGCCCAAGCTCCTGGAGGGTGAGTATGACTCAAGAAAAGGTGGGCCACATGGGAGGGTATTGACCTTGACATTGATATTTAGCTCAGGGGCTACAAGTGTTAAGAGGACACCTGGTATGACAAGTAAGGCCAGGAAGGCTTTGGCCTTTGGGGGTTTGTGGAGCTCTCTTCCTGTGGGTTGGGGTTCCCCAAGGGTAAGTGTAGGAGAAAGGAGCCCTTTCAGAGCTCTGATTCTACCTAGGTCTCTCTGTGCCTAACTCTCTTTCCTGCTCGTCTCTCTCCCCTTCACAGTGGCCATGTACCGGGAGCCTTCTCTCCACAGTGTCCCTGAGACCTCCCCTTCCAGTCCCCCTGCCCCCTGAAATGTAGTCCCTGGACTGGAGGCTCCCTGCACTTGCACTGAGCCAGCCACCACCACCTGCTCCTTGCCCTGCTCTCTCCCCTGCTGCCACACTTATGCCCTGAGCAGCCAGGTCCCACCAGCTGCTCTACCCTGAGGGAGCCTAGGGGCTGGCTGTGACTTCTGGGGCTGCTGAGACCCTTAGATCCTTGGACCCAGGAGGAGGTCAGAGAGGGAGATATCTGAAAATGGTCCTGGCTGATCACTTCTTTCCTTCCACACTCACACACCTCCAAAGCCTTTCCCCCAAAGGGCACTGGGGGTTCCAAAACAGACAGAACCAGGGCATAAATACTCTCCTCCGCAGGCTCATCCAGTTCCTGGAGCCCTATGGCCTTTTCATTGCCACTGAACCGTAGATTTATAGGTCCACTGGAGCTCAGGATTAGTTTCCTTATTTCCCTACTCCGCCTTCTGCCTTGTTCTGGACAGGTTCTGGAACACCAGGCACCCCAGCCAGGGCCATTTCTGCACTAAGGCTCTGTGCTGGAACACAGGCATGCTGCCAGGCTCTGTTCTGGACCCATCAGGCTCTGTCCTTGACCCAGGTGGACCCATGGTTTCCAAGTAGAAAGAGGCTGATGTTGAGCCCTGTCCAGCTGTTGGCCTTGGCCTGACTGGGACCAGTTTCAGATCACCACAGGTTTAACTTTCTTATCCCAGAGACACCCAATTCTAGAGCATGGAGTTCTAGACACATATGGAGCCACGTTTCTTTTTGAATCTCAGCTTTAGGACATAGACCCCGACTCTCAGCCTTTCCCTCCAGGATGGAACTGGGGCCTGTATAGCCATATTATTGCTCTAGAGTTAAGTTCTAGACCCACCCTCCCACCTTCTCTAGTGATACCTATTAACAATGAGCTCTGGAAAGAACCCAGTTATGATTTATAAAGAATTAACTTCTGCATGAATCAAGAATCACTTCTTGTTTTCCTAGATAATTTTCTAAAAATCGTATTCTTCCTATAGAGTGCTAACCTTATTTTTACATGCAGTTTCTAGCTCCTGAAATTCAGCTGGGGTCCTGCCAGGGAAACAGAGTCTGAGGAAGGGCAGAGGAGTTTTGGAAGGAATCTCTGGCTCGCGTTAGGGAAGCTAGGATGGGAAAGGGGCCAAAACCATGGCATGACTGGACCTGTGCTTGGGTTTGGGGGACGTGAACACTTAGCTACCTCAGCAGGAATTCCTTCCAGGTCCCCTTTAAAGCTGAGGGCTTTAGGGTAATGAGTCTAGAATAAAAAGGACAAAGTGGACATATCCTTGACTCCCCCCCCCCCCAGTGAGGAGATCCCAATTCAGCAATAAGTCCCACCCATCATGGGCGCTAGACCTCATACACCCCTAGAGCTTCTAACTGAATAGGACTTGCTTTACCTTACAGCTTATAACCTCAGCTGGGTTTTAAGTACCCAAAAAGGACCTAATTAGATTTTTCTGAAAAACGTGGAGAGCTAGGGGCAGGCCTGAAAAAGATCAGGAAGACACTAGTGAGCTAGGAGGGAGACTGAGTAGCCTCAGACCTGGACAGGGTAGACTGAGGAGGCCCTGAAGGGAGGGGCTCGGGCTCAGAGGCAGGTCACTGTTCTTCAGGCTCTTTCTACTTCTGGCTTGTTGCAAGAGGGGTAGATGCTCCCCTCACCCACACAGACCCGGCTCAGGCTCCACTCATCTCCTGGCTCTGCTCCCAGGAGACCCGGTCTCCACTCCATGCTTTCTCAATTAAAGACGATTTATACAACTGAGGTGTTGTCTGTCATCTGTGGGTGGCAGGCATTGGCAGTTGCTCTGGGCGGGACTAAGTCCCAGGGGCGGGGCGGGTGGGCTGGCGGCTGCCCCCCAACAACAGGTGCACATTCCTGGGCGCCTCGTCACTTCCCTTGAGCTGGCTGTCCCTGCTGCTCACCGAGCGAACTCACTGAGCGACGCGGCTGGGCTATGACCCTAGCGGTTCTGCTGCTGCTGCTGGGGGCGCTGGGGGCGCCGCTCGCCCCGGGTAAGTCTGGGCCTCAAAGGGGCAGTGACAGGGCCAGAGGTCATGGCCAGGCACCATGGCTTCACTAGTGCTCTCCTCCTCCAGGCGCCCGCGGCTCCCAGGCAGAGGGCCGACTCCGCGAGAAACTTTTCTCGGGCTATGACAGCTCGGTGCGGCCGGCGCGGGAGGTGGGAGACCGCGTCGGGGTCAGCATTGGTCTCAGCCTGGCGCAACTCATCAGCCTGGTGAGGGCGCACGCGAGGGTTTGAGGTCCGGCCCACTGACCGGCTGGGGGCGTGGCCCTCCCTAGGCATGGCAGGACCCAGGGACGGCTCGGGGCGGGGCCTGAGACGAGGCCAGGCTAAGAGATGGACGGGCTGTTATCAGATATTGGGTCGAAATTGGACCAGTGGACCATCTGTGGGCGTGACTGCCGAACAGGCCAAGGGTAGAGCAGGGTAGGGTGAGGAACGGGCCTGTGGGCGGATCTTGACGTGCAGCTGGGGCCGATTGACAGGCTGGGGGGCGGGCCTTGAGGCGGGGTCACAGGCTGGGGCGGAGCTTGGTGCCGGACAACGTCAATAAACAACAACAGGCGGAGGTTCAGAGCTTAGTGAATTACGAGCTGTGGGTGGGGCCCCGGACCGAACCAAGCGGAGGGCCGGCGGGGTTGCTAGACGAATTGGCTGGCAGTATAGACCACAGGATATGTCTGAGATAGAGGCGGGGCTTAAACTAACGCAGCTTCTAGGAGGCGGGGCTTGCACCCAGGAGACCGGGACTCAGAAAAAGGAGGGAGTTTCCAGGGAGCGCTTGACCCGCCCAGCCCCCTCATTTCTCTACACTTACATCACTTCTACCCTTTAAACTTTTCCCTTCTAGAACGAGAAGGATGAGGAGATGAGCACAAAGGTGTACTTAGACCTGGTACGGAGACCCCACCGGGTGGGAAAGGGCGTCCTGCTGCCTTTACAATTTCCTCAAATGTCTGGCCCAGTGAATATTTTTTGCTTCACCACCTCAGAAAACACAAATAACTGAAACAGAAGCTTCAGGAAACAATACCTATCTTTACTACGGGAGTTGCACTACATGCATATTTCATTCTAATTTTTTTTACACTGGTTTGGGGCCACTAATTTGATTCTCGACCCGCTAAAGGGTCGCGAACTGCAGTTTGAAAACCAGTGTTTTAGAGGACAGCTAGTGCAACCTCCTCATTTTACAGACTAAAAAACTGGGGACCGGTGCGAGGGAAGGGGAAATTAGCTGATGGGGTTCCAGCGAGTGCAGGTGAAGCCGGAATCAGAACCACAGCCCATGCCCGCGCTGCTCCCCTCACTTGCACTCCCGGGCTTCCTTCGGACATCCCAAGTCTCCTCCCAGCCTCTAGCTCGGGACAGCCCCTCAGCCTCTACTTCCCTAGGAGTGGACTGACTACAGGCTGAGCTGGAACCCTGCAGAGTACGAGGGCATCGAATCACTCCGCATCACGGCGGAATCCGTGTGGCTACCAGACGTGGTGCTCCTAAACAAGTAGGATCCTCCCAAAGTCTGGGTGGTGGGGCGGGGCCTCCATAGAGGCGGGGCCTCCGGAGGGCCGGTCCTGATCCTAGATGAGAAGATTCCTTCCCTGCAGCAATGACGGAAATTTTGACGTTGCTCTGGACATAAACGTCGTGGTGTCCTCCGATGGCTCCGTGCGCTGGCAACCCCCGGGCATCTATCGCAGCAGCTGCAGCATCCAGGTCTTTAGGCTCAGCCGGCGAGGCTCAAGGCGCTCTCAGAAATCTGCCCTCTCCTCAGACATCCTGACTTCCCAGAGACTCCCCTCCCTCCTCCATTATCCCCCATGACCCTCACATCTCTCTCGCCCTCCTGATCAATTGAGTTTCATCTTCTCTGTCCACTTTCATTGACTTCCAGTCTTCCTCATAACCCCCCTCCATTACCCATGGCCTCCCCTAATAACCTTCCAATTCCTCTGTGACCCCACTTCCCTGTGACCTCCCCTGGTGGTCCCTGTCTCCCTGGTGCCCCATCTCCTCTGACCCCTATCTGCCCCGTGACCTCCCCAACTCCCCCAGCCCTGACCAGTTCTCTGGCAGCTCGAGTGACTCCCCACTCCATCCAGGTCACCTACTTCCCCTTTGACTGGCAGAACTGTACCATGGTGTTCAGTTCCTATAGCTATGACAGCTCAGAGATCAGCCTGCAGACTGGCTCGGGTCCTGGTGGGCAGGAGCGGCAGGAAGTGCACATTCATGAAGGGACCTTCATTGGTGAGTGGGCATGGCTCCCACGGCCATGGGCTTTATGATTTCCAGTTTCTAACACGCTGATAAATATACTCCATCAGCGATGCCCAAAACAACCCTGTGGAGTCAACAAGATAGGTACGACTATCTACGTTTTTCAGATATGACAATTGAGACTTATTAAAGTTTATTAGAGATGGGCTGCCCAGCACAGGGTCCACAGCTAGCTCATTAGCACATCAGCCCCCTCTGCTCTAGGATGTGGCAGAGAAAGCCCTATCTGGCACCGACAAGGACAGGTCCACATCTGTGTCCCCTTCTTCTGCTCTTCTTCCCCTTCCCCACCAAGAGAATGGCCAATGGGAGATTATCCACAAACCTTCTCGGCTAATCCAGCATCCGGTGGATCCTAGGGGAGCAGGGGAAGGACAGCGTGAAGAAGTCACCTTCTACCTCATCATTCGCCGGAAGCCTCTCTTCTACCTGGTCAATGTCATTGCCCCATGTATCCTCATCACTCTCCTGGCCATCTTTGTCTTCTACCTGCCGCCAGATGCAGGTAAGAGGGCAAAAGGCCCCAGCTCTCCTTATTACCTCTTCCTCTTCACCCTTAATCCAGGCAAGGTTTTCCTGCCAACTCAAGCCATCATGGATCGTGCTTTAGTTATCTCACCCAGGTTTTCCCTTCAACCAGAGCCTTTTCATCTGGATCCAGGTTTTCTCTCCAACCACAGGCTCTGCCTCCCCTCTGCTGCCCAATTCTGTCCACCCAGTAACTTCTGAACTCTTCCCTTCAGAATCCTAGGATCTCATCCTCGGAACCACTATTCCTGTGACCAAAAAATTCCCAGGCTTAAACAACTCTCCCTTTCCCTTTCCCCATTCCTGGCTTCCTCCCTCCCCCACCTGCTAGTCCCTTAATCTCCTATCTCTCTTGGAAATAATAGCCAACATTTCTCTAGGAGATAGCATAATGTAGTAACAGTGTAACCTTGGGCAAATTCCTTAATCTCTGTGTCTCAGTTTCCTGATCTGGAAAGGGGGACAACCATTGTCCCTATCACATAGGATTATTTTGAGGATTAACTGAGTTAATAAAACTATGCCTGGTACCCAGTAAATTCTATGTAAGTGTTGGTATTGTCTTTGCTCTTTTTGAGCAAAGACTTGCTATAAGGTAATACAATTAACATGTTACATATATTAACTCAATTCTAATCTTTATAACAACTCTGTGAGGTAAATACTGAATTGTCTTCCCATTTTACAGAGGAAGATAAAGAGGCTGAGAGAGTTTAAGTCATTTGTCTGACATTACACAGTTAGATAGAGGCAGTGTCGCTATTCCAACTCTGGTTAGTGCTGGTCTGATTCAGAGACTGATATGATATCTTTAACTCTGGTATTCAAAACATGCTTTCCTTCTCTCTGGAATCAAGTCCTCTGTCTAGGGAAGGAGAGGGTTGCAGCTCTAGAACACACTTCCAAATGTAACTTCTACTTCCTCCTGGAACAAGGCAAGTCTTGGAACCCAATACTAAAGGACTAAAGTAGAGCAGACCATAAAAGTTATTTATTTCAATACCTTCATGAAGTTTGCAGGTCTGTTGTATGCCACAAGAATAATAAGCCACCCGGTATATCCTTATATATTTTGTTTCATTTTTAGATCCCTCAAATTGCTATATAGTTCCTGAAAATGCTACAGTGGTTGGTCCATTCATTCACGCAGCAATATTTGTTGAGCATCTATAATGTGCAAGGCACTGGGAATACATTGGTGAAAAAAAGAGACAAAAATCCCTGCTCTCATGGAATTTATATTCTAGTGGGGGAGACAGTCAATAAACATAATAAATAAATCCATTAGATAGTGTATTAGAAGAGGACAAGTCCTAAGGAGGAAAATACAGTAGGAAAAGGGGTTGGGGAGGATGAGAATGAGGGTAGGGGTTGCAATTTAAAAACAGGATGGTCCATGAATGCCTCACTAAAAAGGGAATATTTGATCAATATTTGAACAAAGACTTGAAGGAGGTGAGAGAATGACCCTGACAGATATCTAGGGGAATAATGTACCAAGTGTTAACAGTGAATGCAAAGGCCCTGAGATGAGAGTGAGTATGCCTTGCATAATTCAAGAAATAGCCAATGTAACTGAATGAAGCAAGAGAGAAAACAGTAGGAGATGAAGTCAGAGAGCTAATGGGAAGGGCTTGTAGACCATACTAAGGACTTTGGCTTTTATGTTGAAGGAGACAGGAAGCCACTGGAAGGTTTTGAGAAGAGCAGTGATATGATCTGATTTACATTTTGACAGAATCAATCTGGCTGCTCTGTTGAGAACAGTCAGCAGGGGGGCAAAGGAAGAAGCAAAGAGGAGGCCTTTATAATAACTCAGACCTGAGGTAATGGTGGTTTGTACCAGGGTGGTAGTGGTAGATGTGATGTCATCAGTTTAAGGATATACTTTGAAGGTAGAGCTATGGATTGGATATGGAATGAGAGAGAG